CAAACCCCCCCTACCCGTCCACACCCCCCGCCGACCTCTGTCGACCACTGCTGGCCACCGTTGATCACCGCCGATCACCGCTGACCTTGGTCGACCACCGCCGACCGTCATCGACTGTCGTTAGCCACCGCTGACCTTCGTCGACCATTGGCGACAGTCATCGAGTGTCGTCGACTACCGTCGATCACTGCCGACCTCCGTCAACCACCGCTTACTAGATGTCGTCAGTCGATGTTGTAACTTAAAAAACTAGTAACCCTTTCCCTCCTGTGGGACAAGGGACATCTGTAATCATCAACTTATAGTGGTTTTTACAACTATGTCAGACCCCGTGGTTTTTTCTTTTTACGTGTTTTCCACGTAAAAACTTCTGGTGTTAGCACAGTTTGATTCATTTTCATCTGAGCGTGTGCTGAATCCTCGCGCAACACTAAGACTATAATCCATCACTCTATAGCCGTGAATTTTCTAGCATGCATCAATTCTAAAGAGTTATGTGCAAAAGTATATTATGATATGAAAATAATAATCTTTGTTAGTAAAAATAACATATTATTTGCTAGATAAAACAATAAAACAATAAAATATTAATTTGTATTAAATGTGAAAAATATTTTAAATTAAATTGAGTGATAGTTAATTTAAAAAAAAATTAAATTTGTTTTGGTAGTATTTGATCAGATACCCATTTAAATAGAAAAATATTACATCACAAATCCTAATTTAGAACTACGTTCAGAGTTCACTGATATGCAGACACATTGTTTCAAGGAAATACTCGCGATATTCCTCTTGTGTTATTCCACGTTATTCAAGTGTTATTGTGGTGGTATTGAAGTGTTATTGTGTTATTATAATATCAAAAATATTCTCAAAACATAATAACATAAATATCATCATTATAATACCTGAATAATACATAATAACATGAGAGGAATATTATTCGGCACTAAACTAATTTTTTTAGTTTTTGTAACCACGACGTGTTTAATATCAGCCGAAAGTAGTTAGGAGTCGGGATGTAAAATTTTTACTGTTGTTTTTCACATGCCAGCATAGGAACGAAATCCCCTACACAAAGAGCGAGATGAGCAGCGGCGGAGGTGAGCCCGGCACCGGCGGTGGAGGCGGCGGCTCCGTCAAGACGCCGGCAGATTTCCTGAAGTCGATACGCGGACGTCCTGTAGTCGTCAAGCTCAACTCAGGGGTCGACTACCGAGGTCCATTCCTGCAACCTTTCTACGATTTTTCTGCTCTTCTTTGTTCCGCCATGTTGGCACTTTCTTGCTCCTCTTCTCTCTCATCTCTACTTTTTGTGATTGTAAGTGCTAATATTTAAAATATTTGCAATAGGATTTTTCCTTGTTGATTTATAGAAGTCCCAATTTGCCTTCCGGTGCTAGGGTTTCTGGAAATTAGGTCATTTATGCTAAATTTTACTTAATTGCCTACTCTGGCAAAGAAGTGATGGTGTGCACTGTCTTTGAAGTAAAAGGAGTTTAGAAAATTTAGCTTATATACCCTCTGCAATTCTTGTGAGTTAATTGTACAGCTAGTTCACGAACGATGAAATTCTTAGTTGTCATTAGGTTTCTTAAGACCAGTACTAAGCATTTGCTTTCCATCTTCTGCTCTTCTTGGTTTTCTTTACTATGACTGTTATTGAGGTATTGCCTTCAGCCGGTGCACCCCTGGCATGATGGTAGACTTAATCCTGTTGGTATCGCCTATTCTGTGATCCAACACAACCATAACAACACAACAACTATAAAGCCTTAATCCCACTATGTAGGGTTGGCTACATGAATCCTTTTTCTCCATTGCGTCCTACTTGGTGTCATATTTTCATTTAGTTCTAATAAATTAAGATCATTTTTTATACAATAAGCCCAAGTTTTCCTAGGTCTACTTCTGCCTTTCTTAATATAAGTCAAATCTAAAACATCTACAATCCTAATCAGATCATCAGATTGTCGACGTTTAATGTAACCAAACCATGTAAGACGACTCCCTCTAATTTTGCCCGTCACTGGAGTTACACCAAACCTATCACGAAGATATGCACTTCGCATTTTTGTCTCTAAGTGTAAAGCCACTCATCCTCCTAATCATTCTCATCTTGGCAACACTTAACTTAGTATTATGCTTCTCTTTTAAAGGCTAACATTCAGCGCCATAGAGCGTTGCAGTTCTCACCACCATCTTATAAAATTTTCCTTTCAATCTAAGCGGTACTTTTCTATCACACAAAAGGCCCGAAGCATTCCTCCATTTCAACCAATCAACTTGAATTCTACTATTAACATCCCCATCTATATCACCATTGCTTTGAACTACAGATCCGAGATATCTAAATCGTTCACATCTTTTAATAATTTGATCACCTAAAGTTACACTTCTGTCACTAGAACTAATACTACTAAGATTACATTCCATGTATTCAGTTTTAGTTCTACTCAAATGAAGGCCTTTAGACTCCAATGTAGACCTCCATAAATTCTCTTAACAAATTTGGTGTTTGAATTCTGACTTGACCTATAAATGATGATATATCAGTAAATGATTAACAAAAAAGCTTGATTTCCTGTTATTTTATCTTGTTATTTTGCAAGATATAATTTGAGTTCCATCACTTTCTTGTCATATAAGTAATAAGTCTATTCTAGGTTTAAAACTTTATACCTTGGATATTCATATGGTGAGCTAATTACTTAGAAATTGTTGCTAAAGAAGCTTATATTGGTGATAATAAACTTTAAACCTTGATTTTATTTATTTTATGTTGTTGATAATAAAGGCTTCATAATATCTACAATTGCTTTGTTCACTCTTTGACCGGGTGTTGGGTCTTTCTAACTCTTTTACCGTCAATTTGGACAATACATTTGATTTTAGATCGAGAAGGGACCGAAGGTAAGATACCTATGTTCTTGAGCAACTCTACCATCCATGAAGTTAGCATGCAAGAAAATGTCATATTTAAGAAATTGTGTAGTTTTTGAATTTTTTGCTGCCGACATTTAGAATATTTAAGCAAATTTGAAAATAAAATTACCGGTCATACGGCTTTTAAGGCGCGGGGTAAATAACATCTTTTGAAGTTTTTTTGTCAAAATTTTAAAAAATGGACATTTACATACATAACACAAAATTCTTATGTATTTACATATCGGTCATATCTCACTTCTAAACTTTAATATTTGCACACATAGCATTCAAATCTTTAATATCACATAAAAAATAGCAATGTTACCAAATTTAAAAAATACATATTTTTATGCATGGACTTAAAGTAATAAAGTGTTATGCATGTAAATATGAAAGTTTACGTGTGAGATATGTAAATATGTAAGAATTGTGTGCTATGCATGTAAATTTCCCTAAAAAAACTCCTAGTATCTTGGTACATAATGAAGATCCATGAAATATTTCATGTTTTCGAAGATTGCTAAAATAAATGCCATCCAATGTCATGAAGTGGTAGATTGCTTAGAATACTGGTGAATTATTGATGGGAGTTCATTTCTTTATGAGGAAGGAAGAAGGCTACCTAAAATGTGAAATCTGGGTAACTTTTTGGATAGCAGAAAATTATTTTGCTTCATAAGAATAATTGATGCATTTTGTGAGCTATAAATACTTGTCTTTGGGTGTTCTTAGGTTTACTTTTGACTTTAATATTTTGGCTTTTTTGATCCATATCCAACCTCTCAGCTTTATTTTATGTGCCCACAATGAGAGATTAGCACAAATAGAAAAGATTTTAATAGCTTTTTTTCAAAGTTTCGTTTTGATCTAGCAATGACTCAATCCTTCTAATTGCTTTAGGCAACAGGGTTTCTCTTTTGTTTTCTTAATTGCTTTCCATTTGAAAGCAAATAAATTGCTTGATTCTTCCCATGGATTGTTGAAAACAAAAAGATGGCTATTTTTCTTTGTTCGCTAGCAAACACTTGTTGTTTTTGGTATTGGACGATAACCTATTCTTATTCCTATTTTGATGCTTTGAAAATCTTGGAGCTAATAAAAAGGCTTTTATATTTTTGTGCTTTGGCTTGAAATAAAAAATGGGTAATTGCAGTCTCCTAGAGACTTAAATTTGTCAACAATAATGGCTTATGCATTAGTAAAACTAGCTATCCGGTAGTTTTTAGCAGCGCAAAATAGTAGCAATGATAAAAAACAAGAGTAACATGAACAGCAAGCAAGGCAGCAACATGCCTACTAGCAAGCAACAACAGTAATACAAAAATAGCTACAGCTGGCACAACTTATGTTATGGTACCCAGTAACCTTCTTTCGGCTTTTAGCTATAGGAACCCATTGGAGCTCATCTGGTAGAGAAAAAGGGTAAAGTAAAGGAAGGTTTTTGGGAGAATTTTCAATTGCTTTCATTCGTATTAAGATTTTAAGTAGGAAGTTGTAATAGAGGATATCTAATCTATTCTTAGACAAATTTCATATGAAGAGCAGCCATACATATAATAAAAATTTAGATTATGTTCAAATTAATTCACTTATCTTAACATGAATTTAAATTCATTTTAAAATTTTTTCAAATAAATTAAATCTATGCAACCGAACTTAACCTGTTGGTTAAGAGCTCAGTATTTCAACCAAGAGGGCTTGAGTTTTTTTGAAAAAAATAAAAGAAAAAAAGGGTTTGGGTTTAAGGATTTGTATGTGCGGTATGCGTGTGTGATAAAATCCAAATAAATTAAATTCATATTTAGTCACTATAATCTTAAATTTGATTGTTGATCTAACTTTTGAGGATTTGATCTTTTTTTGTATGCTTCATGATTCGATCACACATATAGATTCTTAGCAACATTCTCTTTGATCTTAAGCGAGTGATGTAAGAATTAATATACTTGATAATTTTTATGTAGAATTTTGGCCATTAAAACTTCAACAAACATGAAATATTTTACTCTTTTCAAGATCATATGCCCCTGTCATGATATTAAGTTCATATTATGATTTTTTTAGAAGTAGATGGTTGAATTGACTGTATCTTTCATGATCTGATTTCTTCCCTTAGGAGTATTTCTATCTTTCCAGTTATATTACTTCGTTTTTTTTGTCAATCGGTCAAAGTTTCTTTGAGATTTTTGAAAATTTTGTTTGAGAGCTTCTTGGTTAATACATTTTGGCTAGCATTTCATCTTTACTAGCTTCTTACAAATGTCCAAAGTCATAACCTTGGTTTACTGTTTGGTTTGAGTTGGTTCTATCATAAGTCACCTTTTTTTAGCTTGTTATTAACAACGAGGCATTATTTTATTTGTATTCTTTTTTTGCTTGGATTGGCTAGAGGGTGGATGTTCAAGTTAGTTCTTTAGTGATAGAGGCTTCTCCACTTTTGGTAGCTTATGTTCAATTGTTTTTTTTTTTTTTTGAAAAACATACTTTGCTTTCTTTTGGTTTTTTTGATTAGCTAAATGTACACCATTATGTGATTTACTGTACATAGTCTTGCCAATATTTGATCACATTTGCTTTGGTAAAGTTAGTCTTGATGATTGATTTTTAAAATATGAATAGATTTGGATTGTGTCTTGTTTCTCAATTATCTTTTGCATCGACATGTCATCTTCCTTGCCAAAGCCGAATAGTGCATTAGGTTTCCTTTCTTCTTCAATTGTGCTCATCGATAGAAATTTTTCGCCTATATTTTTACTTTATTGTTTCGACATCTACAGCGGACATTGTTTTTTTAGCTAAATGTTTTTCCTTTTATTTGCAAGCCAACACTAATTAGGTCATCAATGTATTAACATATATCTGTATTCTATTATGTAGGCATGAGCACCCAAATATGACATTATTTATATCAACTGAAACGCCCTAGTAGACCATCGTAATCCTTGAAGATGGTGCATTTTAAGTGGTATTGGTTTATATCTAGTCCCTTTTAAGTTCTACCCAACGTATAAAGGTTGGGATACCTTATAGTGTCCATCCCTAATCCTTACACAAATTGACAGAAATGAAATTTTTTTGAATGACAATGTTGATGATGGAGTTATTCACTTGTTGCTTAAGGCTTAAAGCTATATCGTCATGATGAACGAATTATCTTGTGTGCCCATATATTGGAGGGCAGCCCCGCTGCAAAACTTTTGGATGACAATGTCGATGATGGAGTTAATCACTTGTTGCTTAGGGCTTAAGCTACATCCTCATGATGAACAAATTATCTTTTGTGCCCATATAT